TACTTTTTATAACTTTTTAAACGTTTTATTATGACATGACACTGTTCCATATATCCATTATTCGTTTATTTTGATAATAAAATTGTGTTACAGTTGTAAATAAAGAGATAGCAAACTAAAATGCCAAAGATAAAACTTAAACAATAGCGAAAAATATTGAGTAATGGTAGGCAAGCCCATTTTATTAATGTGCTTACTTATATATAATAGATAATCTTAGTAAGATGATAAATATCAAAGTCATATATTTTTTATTTGGCAATCTTAATAGCTTTAACATTAAAAATTTAATGGATTTAAACTAAAACAAGGCATTTAACAGACATGGGAATGATTAGATAGAATTTTTAGTAGTACATAGCATAAAGATAATTGATTAAAGTTTATTTTTATATATCCAGTTATCTAATTATATAGGAATTCGTTAACTGGTAAGTAAGTAGGTATTTTTTTTAAGGTATAAAGTTTGTGTTTTTGTATAATTGTTTCCGTATATTATAATAAAATAAATATCCACATTTTAAGCTTTATAACTTTAGAATATCTTTTGTATCTTTCAAGGTTTTGGGTATTGTACTTATATATCAGTTTATCAATATTAAATAAACAATAATAGAACAATTAAGTTAACAACTTATCTACGTTAACAATTAACGCAATTTTTATATTATTTTATTCAGGGAAATAAGTAATTCAATTAAATTTATAAGTTGTTTATAGTGTATCCCATGAAACGAAACCGAAAAATAACTCGAAAAATCGAAAAGTTACTGGGCGCTATTTTTCTATCTGGAATATCTGGGAGAAGTCAATAGAAACGCCGTATTACCACGTGGTTATCGAAACTTTTACTGCGTCATGACATTTAACGAAAAAGGGACTTTTTGCATTCTTTCAATAATGTGAAAAAACTTAATATTCTAGATAAAAATGTTCACGAAAAAAAAAAACAACTTTATGAAGACATTACAAGAGCCAGAAACTTAGAGAAAACATATTACGTGATAATTACGGGAGATTTCAACGCTAAAATAGGAAAGGACGAAAATACCAACGACAACTAATATATTGGAAATTTTAGACTGGGAAGTAGAAATCACAGGGGAGATATACTCGGAAATTTCCTCAGCAAAGAAAAACTATTCTGCTTAAACACATTTCACAAGAAAAAGATGCAGAGAAAATGGAAGTGGCACAGCCCAGACGGCAAAATAAAAAATGAAGTTGACTTTATACTCTCTAACTTCAAAAATATTGCTAAAGGTATTACTGTATTAAATTCTGTGTGTGATTTATAGTGATAGTAACACTGGTAGTGATCATCGATTAGTTAGGGTGCGAATAGAAGTAAATATGAAATTCGACAGAGAAAAATGATCAACACAGGATAACCAAACATAGAAGCACTCGAAATGAATCAAGAGGAATACCAAAGTGAACTAAAAAGGAGACTAGGACCTCTACCAGTATTCAACACGAAAGATATAAATGAAATAAAACAAAAATTAACGAATGACATAACATCAACTGCAAGAAAGATCTGTGGTAAAAATAAAAATCCGAGAAAAACGAAATTGAAAGAAAGAAAGAATCAGGCTACTATCAACAATAAAGTTATACTGCAAACAATCGAAAACAATAGAAACATGAGAGTATTGAAATCAAAAATATTGAAAATAAAAAACCAACAAGGGAATACGGTAACGGAAAAACACTCAAATAATCAAGAAAATACAAACGTTCTATGAGAACTGTATACATCTACTATATTATACTCTATATCTGTATCCATCTACTATACAGAACCCCGAAACAGACAATAGAACACAAACATTTATGTAGTAACAATGTGTTACATTACAATTACCTACTTAATTTTTAAAATAGTTTAAAAAAACACAGAAGATAGACATGGGAAAGTCCTGATGGAAAAACAAGGAACGAAATCGGCTATTTCTTAACAAACAAAAAAGAATTATTTAAAGATGTAAATGTGCTAAACCAGTTCAGTACATGCAGTGATCATAGGTTAGTAAGAGCTAAAATAACGATATCAACCGAAAAAGAAAGACTCAAAATGATAAATAAGAAACAACCAAAGAAATGGAAAAAAACCAACTAACATTCAGGAGTTCGAAAAATATATTGGTAATTCATTGAAAGATACAACAACAGCAGACATCAATATATTGAACAAACACATAGTCAACACAATGCAACAGGCTCAAACTAAATATTGTCCGACAAGCAAATAAGATGAAAAACTGAGTCAACCCACGAAAACCCTTATAGAACTAAGGCGACAAATGAAAGGAGATAACACTACAAGCAAAGAAGCGATAAATCAAATAAATAAGACGATCACAAAGGTAATAAGAAAAGACATAAGATACTACAATGTAGAAAAAACAAAACAGGCAATAGAGCAAAATAAGAACATGAAAGTTTTAAAGAGGAGGGTATAAAAGGGGAAAATAGAAATTAACAAACTGAGAAACAGAACTGGAGAAGAAACAACGAACAGAGATGAAATATTGAGAATAGTCGAAGAGTTCTACATAGAATTATATAGATCAAGAAAAAAAGATAACAATACGGAACCTCCAATTACACTAAAAACTGGGGTATTAAACCAAAGATCAGATTTAATGCCCGATATAACAAAATCAGAAATCAAAGAAGCCCTGAAGAAAATAAAAAATAATCGAACCCCGGGTGAATATGGAATAGTATCAGAAGCACTAAAAATTGGAGGGGATGTATTACTTGAAAAAATTAAACAACTTTTCAATATCTGCCTTCACAGCGCCAATATTCAGACTGGAACAACGCTACTATGATTTTATTACACAAAGCAGGAGACAAAGCAAATTTAGAGAATTACAGATCGATTAGCCTCCTCAGCCATATATATAAGTTGTTTACGCGAATACTAGTTAAGAGAATGGAAAGAAAATTAGAGACTTATCAACCAAGGGAACAGGCAGGTTTCCGAAAAAATTACGGAACAAATGACCATCTACAAAGTATAAAAACCCTAATAGAGAAAGCAGTGGAATACAATAAACCTCTAATTCTAATATTTATCGATTTTCACAAAGCTTTTGACACAGTTGAGCTAAGCAAAATATTACAGGCGCTTAAAGAATGCAGGCTAGATTATAGATATACTAAATTATTATACAAAATATACCTGCAGGCAACAACCACTATCAGATTACATACTAACAGTAATCGCATAAAAATAGAACGGGGGGTTAGACAAGGAGACCCAATGTCACCTAAACTTTTTAATACGGTGCTAGAACATGCTTTTAAGAATTTGGATTGGATGACAAAGGGAATAAAAATAGATGGAGAATATCTAAACAACTTACGTTTCGCCGATGATATACTTATAATAGCTGAAGATCTAGGTATGGCAAGAGAGATGGTACAGGAACTCGTTGTGAACAGAAAATGTAGGTTTAAATATAAATATCTCGAAAACAAAAATCATGACCAATTTGGTACCCAACCAGAACATCAGTATTGGTGAGAAAGAAATAGAACTCGTAGATAGATATAAATACCTGGGACATGAAATTATGATTGGCAGGGATAACCAGACTCATGAACTGAAGAGAAGAATCGGCCTTGGGTGGGCAGCATTTGGAAAACTGAGAGAAACTTTTAAAAGTGAACTGCGCACATGCCTAAAGAGAAAGGTATTTGATCAGTGCGTCCTTCCAGTCTTGACGTACGGAGCAGAAACACTTACCTTAACAAAAGCTGCAGCTACCAGTCTGATAGTCACGCAGAGAAGAATGGAGCGGTCCATGTTAGGAATAACTCTCCGAGACAGAATAACAAACGAAGACATCAGGAGAAGAACCAGAGTGACTGACATCATCGAGAAGATAGCCAGACTAAAATGGAGATGGGCAGGACACATAGCCAGAATGACAGATGGGCGATGGACAAAGAGGTTATTGGAATGGAGGCCAAGGGAAGACAAGAGAAGCGTCGGTTGACCACCTACAAGATGGACTGACGATTTAAGAAGACTCAGTAAAAACTGGATAAGAGCGGCGCAAGATAGACGGGGTTGGAAACATGAGGAAGAGGCCTATGTTCGGCAGTGGACTCTTGAGGCTGGATGATGATGATGACTTAGTTTTTAAATTTATTTTTAGTTTAGAACTAATAAAAAGAATGATCCAGATAGTCAATATAAAATGCTAAGGATGAACCGAATTGAAGTATTAGAAATGCAAGTAAAAGAATAAAGAGTTACAAAAAAGTCTGTTAAATGTAGGAAAACTTTTTCCTATGATCCTTAGATTATCCGATCATTCTGATATGGTACAAAAAGAAGATTTCACATACAATGACATTTAAAATTTCAACTTTTGTGAACAACCTTTGCGGACACACTGTAGCTGATAATTTATAGAAAAATACAAAACAATAGGTCAAGTCAATAAGGTGAAGCAGCTGAATGACGTACACCTGAGAGACAATGCTAATACAAACAAATCTTATTGGGGTAGATGGATTATAATAAGGAAAAATAAGATGTTTAAATGGTGGAAGGAAGTAATACCAAAAAAAAGGAATTATTGACAATGTAAAATAGCACAAAAAACATAATGCTATGCATATACATGACAAAAGCAAATAATTTACCTGTAATTTAATAAAATACGAAAGAAAATTTTCAATTTGCATAGAGAGAAAATTAAAGATTCAATTAATTGAGATTTAAGTCATTTTATAATTGGTAATGCATATTTATAGAAGAAAAGTTCATTTTAAACAAGTAAAAATATTAAAAAATCTGGAAAAATATTATTTTTGAATTAAACAAGAAAAAAATGTACTAATAAAATAATCTCTGGTATCATAGTTTACTACATCTGGGAATTTTTAACTAAACATAGCGTGAAATTTATTTATTTTTAGAAAAACGTTGAGGAAACAACCGGCGATTATACATATTACAAAAACAAACATCTTACCTTATTTAAAGCGGGAGTCCTCAGCCTCTCGAGTCCGGAAACGGCGCCTGGTACGAGATGCTCTCCATTTCCCCAATTTCCAACCCGATCTCTTTCCATTGTTACGTTTGATTTGTTTATTGGGAGTGGGCTAGAACTGCAACAAAAATGAGACCGTACTGATTTATCGTGCGACAGATATCATACTGATTTTTAGTTTAGTGTAGTGAATAGAAATTTAGCTTATCGGTAGAAGTGCTAGACCTGCGCAACATGTTGTAACGATCAGCTGACGGCGGTGACCGACGCATCACAACGCGGCGACGCCTGGCGTCGAAGCCTTCGTCATGATCGCGTAACTGCGGAGCCGAGGTAGTAGGTGAAAGGAAAAGCTATTAGGATTGGGTTGGGTAAGAATTATATCAGTCAGTGGGTCAGTACGAAAGCAAAGTAGTAAATTAAAAATGCCAGAAGAGAATAAGCCGAATTTATGTTTGTGATCAATTTAATATCGTACATACAGGGGTTTTCCGAAGTAAATCTGAAATATTTTATGGGAAATTCCTTGTTCAATTTTACCTCGTTCATTTTGTGCTACAAAAGTATTAAATATGACGTGAAAAAATGTTTAACGTTTGACACTTACTGAAATACAAACCAAGATTAAGTTTTTCTGATTGTCAAAACAATCATTTGTCAAAACATTTATCCAAAGTGGAGTTTGAACAATTCTAATGCTTTCGTAGTTTTATTTTTACACTGGGAATTTTTCGCAGATACCTGAAGCTTTTAAGACTTAGGTGGGGGTTACTAGATGACGAATATAGTACTCGTATTTTTTCCTTGCGTTTTTTTAAACAATAATTTATGGTCACAAGTTGATTTTTTGTCTATAGTCCATTTCCATCATTGATAGCACATTATGTATGCAAATCCCTAAACTGTTGATACGGGTGACTCAATGAAAAATAGATATTTGTCAACAAGTTTACAGAAGTATATAGGAAAACAATTTTAAATTGAGTATGACCACCAGGTATAAAAGTGGAAGTAGAATAGAATACAATAGTTTTGAGGGTTACTAATCCCTGAATAAAGTTGCCAGTGTCGGAGTGATGGAGATTAACAGGTTCTAATGAATTTGCAAGAAATGTAAGATGTTTATTTTATTGGTTATATATCAAATAATTTGTGGCCGTAACAGGACCTTCATTTAGCCAAATCTCGTCCAAATAAAAAATTGTTTTCCCTTCTTCTCGGTACTTTTTAATAGTTCTTAGATAATCTCGTCTCCAACATACAATGTCATCTTTTTTCAATTAAAACGGATTTTCTTCTATTCTTTTGCCAACGAAATCCCATCTCTCTCAATAGTCCCCATAATTTCTTGTTGCTTATGATTGGTAACTCTTCGTTTTCTCTAATTAATGTTTGGATTTTGTCCAATGTTGGAAATTCTTTGTTAAAAAAAAATTGAGTGGACGCTGCGTCTTATCATGTTTTTATGTATTTCTTCAATTTCCAAGGGTTTACTCCCTCCACTCTTCTTGGGAGATGAAACAGTTCCTCCTTTTCTTTCTTTTAGGAATCTACAAATTGTTGCTTTTCCAACCCCTGTCATATTTGACCACATGTTAACGATTTCACGAACATTACTTAAAGGGCGTTGATGTACAAGTGCATCGTGTACATTTAATATTATATTTTTCTCTCTTAGACTGAAGGCACCTTTAAAACTACACTTAATCGGGATAAAACCTGTTGTCGACGTCATTTTTAAATGCAAATAACAAAATATCGACACCAAAAACGTAGGTAGGTAAGACATGAACAATGTAAATCTACAAACTAAATGGAAAATGCAAATAATTTCTAATTTATATTATCATGAAGCCTTATCAGTAATTCCAGGTAATCGTCCAAAGAAGGTATCCTTTTTGTGTCAGGCGATAACTTGTTTAGAAAACAATAATCACCTTTAAATTACTGTTTACATTAATTTATTTCGTGAAACATTGAATTCTCTCGTTAATCACCCGTGTATAATTAACAATAATCGTGTGGCATATATACCGACGTTTTTTACGCACAAAAAAGGTATAGTGAGATTAGTGGACACTTATTTTACAGAAGATTTTTTAAAAGATAATGAATTGTTGACGGCATCTTAAAATATTAATTTTTTTTATTTATTTCAAAACACGTATAGGGTGACGCCTATGGTTTTTTTACCTGTTTAGGATTTGCATGCATAATGTGCTATCAATATGATAGAAAATGACATTATAAGTTTTTTCCTTTATATTTTACATATATCATTTTTTATATCAAGAATATCTTTATTTTAACGTTTTTTAAATTAAAATTGATAAATAATTTTAGGGGATAAAATAATTTAATACTGAAATGTTTCTAGGGGAATATCAGGCAGGATTCAGGCCTGGACGTTCAACCATTAACCAGATCTTTACACTACGACAGATCCTCGAAAAAGCGCAAGAGTTTAACATAGATATGTATCATATTTTTGTCGATTTTAAAGCGGCATATGACAGTGTCTTAAGACCAAGTCTTTACAACGCTATGAATGAGTTAGGAATTCCAAAAAAACTCATACGTTTGATAAAAGTGACAATGGCGAAGATGCTATCAGCAGTAAAAATTCAAAACGACTCGTCAACCCCATTTCAAATACATAGGGGGTTAAGGCAGGGAGATGCGCTGGCGTGTCAGCTTTTTAATGTCGCCTTAGAAAAAGTTGTACGAGAAGCTAATTTAGATAGCAGGGGAACAATATTTAATAGATCAGTCCAAATTCTAGCATATGCAGACGACGTGGACATTATAACAAGAACTAGGGCGAGAACTGCGGAAATCCTAACCGAGCTAGTAGCAGCAGCAGAACGAATGGGGTTACATATAAATCAAAATAAAATCAAATTCATGGCGACTAACACAAACACAAGAGCTGGAAATGTTGACACAAATTTAATCATCAATGACCAAAACTTCGAAGCAGTCAATGAGTTCATATATCTAGGGACATCGGTTAACCCCAATAATAATACATCTGAGGAAATAAAAAGGCGAATAATAATTGCAAACAGGTATTATTATGGTTTATCAAAGTACTTAGCTAACAAACGTCTGTCTCAAAAAACTCGTATAAGGCTGTATAGAACACTGATAGTCCCCGTTCTCACATACGGATCAGAGGCATGGACGCTAACGAAAACAGATGAATCCGCTCTATCCATTTTTGGAGGCGTAGATATAACTTCGAACTGCAGAATATCTACAAGCATACGTTTGGTGGTAAAGATATTACCACTATAATTAAGCGAAACCGCCTGCAGTGGGCAGGACATGTAGCCCGGGCCCCTGAATCGAACATGATAAAAAAGATTCTAACAGCGCAACCTGTGGGAATGAGACGACGGGGTAGACCAAAGCTGAGGTGGATGGATGGGGTAACACAAGATGCGGAGAAGATCGGATTCGGCAACTGGAAAATTCAAGCTAGGGACAGAACAGAATGGCGTAGAAAGCTTGAGAAGGTCGAGGCCCTCTAAGGGCTGTAGCACCAAGATGATGATGATGATGATGAAATAATTTAGGGAGATATTTGCAAAAATGCAGTTTTTTGCACTAATTTATAAATTTTCTTATTTCTTTAATAAGAAAATAAAATGTTATGAATACATTTGAACATCGAGGAATTAATGTCTTTTAAATTTGTGCGAAATTTCCACCCGATCGGTCAAATACTTTAAAAGTTATTTAATTTATTTATCCCAGAGGCTAAATATTTAAACTATTGAACTTGCTCTATTAATGATGCTAGACACATTTAGCAAAGTTCATAGGATTCTTTATTATATAATTCTTAAAGACTTACACTATCTCAGATGTTAAATGTATATTGCGTTTTCATCGAAATTATTTACAAAATAAACGTTTGAAAAGGGGGTTTGTTTTTTACTTATAAACAATTATAATAACTTCTATATTTTTCAAGCTACAGACTTGTACCTAAAACTATTGGTTAGCTGAAAAAAAAAACTCACATTTAAGAATAAAAAAAAACCTTCTATCAGCAATAGGAACGAAGTTAGGGACTTGATGTTAGGGACCAATAGGGGCTTGAAAATCAACTAATATTTATACATAATATTTTACAAAATTGCAAGCCAAAAGACCAATGACTGAATGACAAAATTGAAAAAGTCATTGGTCACTCTGACTGAGCACTTGGCGACAAGATGAAACCTGGCTAAAAGAAAATCATACCGTTTCAAAAGTATTGGCAGATAACACTATTACAAGTTTTCGACAAGTCTTTCTAGAAGGATATTCTACTGGTTTTAATGCTCCCGCAGGAAAGAGTCGAAGATTAACAATCACACACATTGGTAGCGAACATGGTTTCAAAATCCACTAAATATTATCCAGTTACATTGTTTTTGATAACGAAAATTCTATCACTCAAAATTAGTAAAAAGTTGTCGATGCTCTCATGGAAAAAAATTGATATAATTGACTGGCTCCCATGCAAAACAATATTGTACGATCAGATTATGCTTACAACGAATTGCAAGACAACATAAGTCGTACAATAAAAAATATGACATTGACGAAATGGCCCAAACAAAAGGACTAACGGTATTACGTTTGTCACCTTATCATTGTCAATTAAATCCAATAGAGTTAGTATGGGCCCAAGTAAAAGGTGAAGTGGCTAAACAAAATATAACTTGTAAATTGAAGGATGTCGAACAACTGTTATTAAATTCCATAAAAAACGTAACGAATGAACTGAACCAATGGCACAAATCACGTAAACAAAGAGGAAGAAAGATTGTGGACTGTTGATAATAACATTGAAGAACTTTGTAAATTGATAATCATTCATTTCAGACCGGACAATGAATCTGATACAGAAGAAGAGAAAGAGATGGAAATCCATAATTTATAAGTAGATCAGTATTCTTCTTACAGTGCCTTATCCTTAAGGACGTTGGCCATTACATTTGCGCATTTAATCTTATTTGTAGCAGACCCCGAAAAGTTCTATGGAGGTCATGTTCGTCCATTGCCGTAGGTTTTTAAGCCAAGAGTTGCGTCTTCTTCCTGGTAATCTTTTGCTATTGAATTTGC